ACAGAACACAGGCACACAACAAGTTGAATGCTTCCAAGTTAATTGCTCTAAGCCGTATACATGATTAAGGCGTTAAGTCCCCTGATCCCATTCTTTACAGCTTCTCAACCGAACATTTTGGTTGGATCCAATATGTTCTTCAGAGCATCTGGAAGAAAGCAGGGATGCAAATGAGGCTTGACAGGCCTAAAGCCCCACCCACCCATTCCATCCTCAACTCAGTCTTCTGTCCAACCTCACTGCACCCTGAGGGCCTGACCCAGAAGTCAGAGGAGGGAGCTTAGATTCACCTGAGGCCAAAGGATGAGCCCTATCCCCCAACCTGGGCAGGAGTGAGAGGAAGAGAAATGAGCAAGCAGACTCTGCAGTGGGAAGCTTGGGGCATCTGGTATCAGACAACCATGCATTTTGAACGTGGATGAGAAATTTGAGCCATTTGAAGGCCCAAATGAAGGAAATTTCAATGGAGAGGGGCTGAGGTAGTCCCAGATCTCCTGTGTAGGGTGGTGGTGAGGGCATGAGCTTTCCCACCTCCCCAGCTGGCTGGTGGCTGGTGAGCACTCCTGTTCCCACAAGGCTCTGCCTACGGATGCACTTGCCTTTAGCCTTTTGAATTATTCCATCCACATTTTCTTTTTTCAATGACATTTTTTAGGTCTGATCTACCTTTCTCTCTCACGGATTCTAATTTTGGAGCAGAAGAATCACATCAGCAGAAAAGCCATGTCATTTAAAGAGAGTTCCCAACTCTTCCCCTTTTCCCCTCTTCCCATTATCCTTGTATAAATTTCAAGTGCAGAAGTTTTGCTGAGGAGCCCAGCTTCTCTCTCATAGGAAAGTGAGTGGGCCAGAAAGAAACCATGTATAGTGCAGGCAGCAAAATCTACTATTTCAGAGACTCTGTGTTTGGGTGCAGTGTTCACCTCATTCGTGGTTTGTGTTCAGGTGAATGAATGGATGTCTGCTTTTTCTGGGCTTGTCTTGGTGCACAGAGGCATCTAGTAGACCTGCTGCCAGAGATTTCTTTGGATTGTATCTGTTATAGAGACAGAGACTTACCCAGGAGACTTTTTCTTTGCTTGGTGGTTGGCTCCTGGGCTGCCGTCGAAGTCTCCTGGGCTGCTATGGTTGTCTCTTGGGGTGCATCAGATTGCACTGGAGTTACAAACACAGATTTGTTGATTTTAGAAAAGTCAAGTGTGTTTCTTTTCCTTAGGAATGGGTGGCAGGGCCTCAGATATGTAATATGTGCTGGGTGCCAGGACAGAAATGATATGGCATAAACTCTCCCTTGTAAGAGAGAAATGGGATTTCTACACACTATGTGCTCATTATAGATGAGTGTTTGTCCCCCCCCCCCCA